ATTTTTTTCAAGTTCTTCGGCCTTTTCCTTAGGGAAATTTTGTTTCTTATTTGCTGCTAAAAAATGGCGTCTGATTCAGTCAATGACTTTGATGGAACTAAATGAAAACGTGATAAATTAATGTCCGATATTTACAGGCTCCCGCTAGACGGCGTACTCGAGCGTTGCGATCGCGAATTAAGTGCTGCTGCTAAAAAAAAAGTCATATTTTACTCATAGGGAATTTTAAAGATTTTTATAGCAATCAGAAAAGAAAAACTGCAATATTTTCCAGTTATGATTGACATTAAATGAACTTGAAATGTTATGCTTACTCATAATTTTGAATAAAAGGGATTTAATTCATCGAAGATATTTAAAAGATTTTCTAATTTATTTAAAAGGGTAGTTCTGAATAAAAGTAAACTGAAAATTTTAGACCAAAAAAAGAAAAGTTTTAAAAAGATTTTTATAATTGAGGCTTGCTTCATTATGTATTAGGAATGCTTATCTAAACATTCCAGCAAGCAATTTGCGATCGCAACGATTAAATGAATACGCCATCTAGCGGAGAGGATTTTTTCACGCTTTTATTCATTAATTTCATTTAGTTCCATCAAAATCATTGGTAGAGTAGGAAGCATCCAATAAGAAGTAAAATTTCCCAAAAGAAAAGGCAGAGCTTTAAAAAACGACCCAGAACATTGGTAAATCATTTGGAAACAGAAACGCGTCTAACATTTAAAGAACAATTTCTCAATAATTTTTTCCTTTCCATTATCAACAAACTTGCATCTCGCAACTTCCGATTGCGTGATAGCATAATGTAAAAGATATGTGTATTAAGGTAAGATACATTTTTTTTGTCTTCAATTCAATATAAATTAAACGTATGTTATTTAAATCCACATTGCTTACTTCATTCCAATGGATAAATGTGATTTCAGAAGTGCAGAACTATAATAGTCATAGAATATTCTTCTTCTCTATAGAATAGTATATATTTCTGTATCTATATAATTCGGCAAAAAACAATAAAGAATCATCCGAAATGCTTGAATAGTATCATTGGTGTTGATTATTAATAAACTTTCGTCATTTTCTTGGTAAGTACTTTTTGTAATTTTGAATGATTAATTTCAACTAGAAATCAGCTGTTCTGTTTTTAAGTTACATATTGAAATTCATATCGTGATCTTACAATTATAAAATTTCATTGTGTGGTTCGTCATCTTAAAGTAATGAAAGGATAACCTATGCATACATTATTTGAGAACAAAATTCTCAAACGAAGAACATTTTATTTTGGAATTCTCCGGATTTATAAAGCAGGTAAGTGTTATGATTTTTATAATAAAAAATTTACTTGTAAATTAAATTTTTCTTTTCTAATTTGATAATAGTTCTCGACAGAATGATTTTCTGTCTGATTTAGAACTTTAAAATAAAAAATAAATAAATATGTATGTGTATACATTTTTCGCATATTTTTATGTTTGAAGTTTTATGATTAAAAAAAGTATGGAATGTAAAGTTTAAATCGACCTTTCATATTAGATCATTAAATTTAGTAGAGCGATTTCACAGGCATTAGGTTTTAACTCTAATAAGACGATTAACTACATATTTTTTTTCCTGCTTATTTACAAATATTTTCCGATGTGTTTGAAATGCTCCTTCTTTAAAAAAATAAAAATAGTACGTGGAGTCCCTGCGCGCGGAAGAAGTTAAGTTTCGCAACCTGCGACGTTAATTGTGGAAGAATCAGCAGTCGTAGAAGGATCACTAGTTCTATTCAACGACTCTTTTTCCTGCTCCGCTCGCTTCCGTGCACTGTAATCACGGTAATATTGTGCATTTTTCCCTCGTGGACCTCTTGAAAAAATGGAAGTGCTTGTGGTTGCCTCATCGTCTCGCCCTGGAAAATGTATTTGTATTAATAATGTATATGAATGCGTCATAATGTAATTTCAGAAGAGAAAACCTAACAATCAATTGATATTCACAAGAAACGTACCTTGACATAACCTTAAATCCGTCGCATTGTCCGTGGGATTGTTTTCACTCATTTTTTACAATTGTTATCCAC